GGGCCCGTGGTGTCACATCGTTGGCTCGCTGGGCGTGGTGTCGCGCTGGCGCTTGGGCTCGACGCTGACGCCGAAACGTCGACGTTTCCTGCCTGCCTGGAACTCGCGTCGTACGTTCCACATCCACGGTTCGAATGTACTACGTCGTCGCGTGTTACACAAGCGCGTGTACGGCGCACATGTGCGACGGTCATTTGGTCGTGAAATCTTGCACTAATCGAGGCAAGGAAGCCGCGGGCTTTCCTTTTTCAGCGTTGATCGGTTGAGCATGTGCCGTGTGCAGGTCACTGGTAGAAATACACCTTGCGAGAAATACACCTAGCAATTGCTGGCAACGCCAACCAGGTTTGCTATTTACGCCGTAAACACAGATCGTATTTACGGTTTTACGCGCAGAAACATTTTTTTTACGTTTTTACGTTTAAAACACGTCAAAATACGAAAACACAACGTAAAAACAGCCCCTTGTACACAAGGACAGTACATACAGCCTTGGAGACTGCAGGGAATGGCATCCAGACGCACTGTAATGGGCAGAAAACGAATTATGTTCCACTCCATCGTGGCCCTTGCCGAGTGGGAAGCGGACGCTGTGTTGCGGGCGCTCAAGGGTGCGGAGTACTGATCACTGTGCGCAACTTTCATCCTGTAAACTGAGTGTTACAACGAGCCGCAAAAACGTAGAGACAGCCGTGAAAATAGCCTCATTTGCAAATTTACATTTTCACGCGTAAGAACGTAAATGTGAACGTAAATAACAAGCCTGATGCCAATTTCGATGCCATTGGACAATCATTGACGCAAACGCATTTGCTGTTATGCCCTCGCAAGCGCTGTGACGGTGCTGACTAGCGTCGAAATAGCATAGCAGTGAGCATCGCCAAAACGGAGTTTTCCGCCAGTGGGTGTTTTGTGCGCGCTTCATGGGCGCCTCCAGAGACTGCGATAGAGCCACACGACCCGTGGCCATTGAGCTAGGAAAAAAAGCGCCAAATAACACGTGTTCAGATGTGTACAAAGTTTATGGGTTTGGGTATTTTTTGTATTCTTAGCGTGCAGAACTTTGATGAAATGTGTTTTATGTGTGTTCGCAAAAGTGTTATTTGGTCCTTCCCAATCGATGCCGCACAAGCCCTTATCCGTTCCCCACCGCACTCGATAGGAGTCCCCTCCTATGATTCGATGTCGGTGTTCAAACTTATGAATTCACCCCCATGATCTACAATGAATGCCGTCACCGGCTGTTAACTTTCCCAGCAACACTTCCTTTAGAACTGTGTACCCACTGGCAGAAAACCACGGACACCCAGTCACTCAAATTCTGCCTGGTTACCCCATGTCTACAACTCCGCAAATAGCTGCCCATCGATTTGACGACATCGGATTTTACTGGATCTTCGCCTTATGTGTATTGCCTCCCGGCAGCTGGCTAATTCAAGCATCGCCCAACACGCTCCCGGAGGAGTAACTCATGATATCAAAACTGCAACTTAGGTATGAAGTTAAGCTTGACAATGAAGTTAAGTTGCAGGAAGAGCATTCACTCTACATTTAAAGCCAGAACTCAAAAACACTTGCAGTCTATTGTTTTTAAAAGGTTTGTTCGCGTAGCCACATAATGAACACCATTTCACTGGGTGAATCAATTGTGTCTGAGAGCTAGCGATTGCTCTGCACTTCGCAGAGCGTCTGTTTTTTCATGGGATGGCCTGAGCTGACCACCACTACAATACCGTTGCAAATCTTCATGAAATTCTTTATATTCTTCTGGTCTCTTTTGACCTGATTTGACGCATGGGATGCCCTTTTTGATCACACTTATGTCACTAGGAAAAAGGGCCAAATAACACGTGTTCAAACGTGTACAAATTTTACGGTTTTGGGTGTTTCCGTGATTTTGGCATGCAGAACACAGATGAAATGCACATATATGTGTTCGAAAAAAGTGCTATTTGGTCCTCTTTACGCTATTGTATGCGTTTGTGGCAACACGAGTATCTATGGAGAGCAAACTATGCAGCTTGTATGGAAATACCTTGGATGAGGTGTCTAGTCCACAAGAATCTTGTGGGGAAGTTGTGGATGTTTTGCCCAGAAATTTGCAGTACTTTGAATGTTTGTTATTTTAGTTTGTAAGCATATTTGTGGCTTGCAACTGGCCATATGAATGATCTTAACAGTCAGAAATTCAAAGCTTATGTGATAGAATGGTGTGGAAAGGCCGGGTATCTCTCTTTGCAGTTTTGTCTCGTCATTGCATTTTTTATGGTGTGGAGAGTCCCTCTTCTGGTAGCTCATATTTCAACCTGATTTCTGTGTGAAAGGACCTCTATGGCGTATTTTGTGCTGAGTTACAGGCTGAGTGGGCATGCGATGGAGCTGTTTGATGAGCGTTGATGATGAGGTGGATCCCGGGGGTACAAATGGGCAAGCCGGTGGTTGCGAGGCAGGAAGCAGTTGGGCGGTGCTTGGTGCAATCGTTTGGCAAGGAAGGTCATGTTTGGAATAGGAACGGATAAGCAAATGTGCAAAGCCCGGTTTCTGTGCGGGAGCGGCCTTGTAAGGCTGTGTCTGAGAGCCGTTTTGCCGGTGTTGGGTGTGTAGTTTCTCCGGGCTTCTTTTGAGCACTTCGGGATAGCGGTTTGAGCCACCAGTCAACCGTCCAACCTTAACAAGGTTGCCATAAATAATTTTGCCATAGTAATTGCCATTGTGATTGCCATAATAACTGCCGTAATAATTTAAACTGCGATGGGTGCATCCCGCAAAATTGACAATGTCGTACTGTGCGTTCACAATTCTTGCCACATCGGCTGTGCAACTTTTGGGTGGCGAGGCTGAGTGAAAGATGCGAGTATCATTGTTGTTAAGCAGCATGAGAACATTCAGTGGTTGGCATTGTATCGATTCTGTCGCGCTGAATCAGGGGTTGACGCCAAGAGAAAGTGAGTAGATTTATGATGCAACAAGTACGTAATTGCCGCAGTATAGACGCTGCCAATTAGCGGTGTCTGTTTTGTGGCAAATTGTGGCATTTCTGGGCCTCATCCTGATGGAGAGCCCCAAACTGCACCTAGCTTGTTCGAAAACTCTCTTTTGCCCTCTTCAATGAACGCCCTGTGCTGCTTGCGAACGGCTGCAGAAGCTGTCTCAACACATGCACCATGACTAATCCCCCTCCTACTATGTCCCATCCCCGGAAAGGAAGGAAACTTCCATCCGTTGCCCTCTCTCCACCCAACCCCTTTTTGCTCAGTTGCCAATTCCAGGCTTGTTATTTATGGCGTAACCACTTTCTGTTTATGGCTATTTATGTGCAAAATCAGTTTTAATTTTTACCAATAAATAGCGACAAAAGTGGGCAAAAATAGACAATGTGTACATAAGGATAGCACTTAAAGACTAGTGAGTCTGGGGAGTGGCATCCAGATGCGGTGGAGTGTGCGGAAAACGACCTTTTGTGCGACGATGATGTTAACCCTTGCTGAGAGCGAGGTGGACACTGTGCTGCGAGTGCTCGAAAGGCAGAAGACTAATAATTGTTTGGGACATGATTATGCAAACTGGGTGTGTCGACGAGCCGTAAAAGTGCTTAAATATAGCCATATGGCCATATATCCATCTAAGTGGCCATTTCTCTATTTGCGCATTTTTACGTGTAAAAACGTGAACACAAAAATGGTGCCTTAACATTAGCAAGAAGCCTGACCAAGTGAGGAACTACCGCCGACTGCCCCCCCAAATTAACACTGGCGCGGCGCCCCACCACCACAGACTTTGTAATGCCATCTCACCATCACCACAGACAACGCACAGTAATTCGCACAGTACTGCGGACCCGTCGCTCTCCAGACAATCACCAACTCCAATACCCTGCGTCAGTACTTCTGTCCTGTCGTACTTTGATGTCTCCCCACCCGCGAACGGCCCCTGCCCCAGGGGCCCTCCCCCGCTGATCCGACTGATCCAGCTGATACAGCGCCCCCTGGCTAAGACGTGAGGCCACAAACGCCACCCTGCTCCGCTGATCTCTCCAACTGATCCGCGCACCTTGGCCCTTCAGGACCCTCCATGCTGCCCCACAGCCACCACAAGGGGCCCCTTTCCTCGCCTTAGCCCCGTGTCATTCCCTTGTTCCTTTGCTGCTTTCCAGCAAAGCTGCCAAGGCATTTCCGGTGTAGCAATTGCGCAATGGATAGCATGCCTCCTAATCCCAACGACGAGGCGGTCTGACCCGCGCCCCGCGGCTCCGCTGCCTGCTAAGGGCCAGGCGGGCGAGCCCCACTCCGGCGGGCAGGACAGAGGCAGCGGGGTGGGTGGGCCGGGGGATGGGATGGTGGGGCGATGTGCTTCTGCGCGCCGTGGTGGCCGAAATTGGATCATGGCGGCCCCGAAAATCGCGATCCGTTTTAGGATCCGCTGGCAAGTGTCGAAGGGCGGGTTGCCGGCAGCTTTGGCGCCCTGGGAAGGATTGCGGGGCGGGGGGCTGGGGGGGGGGGCCGCAAATGAGCGTGGAGTTGGGCGCGCTGCGGTGAAGAAGAGGGCTGACGCCTGCTCATGGCGTGCGGTTGGCCCGCCCGCGTTTCCGGTGGGGATTCCGCGGACGCCTCTGCCCAGGCCGCGGCGGTATGGGCGTCGCGGTCGCGGCACGGGGATGGAAGGAACCATGCGGGACATTCTTGGCGCACAGGGCGCCACCAACGATGTCCCCGTGCTTCTCTGGCCTGGTGCCCGCGGTCGAGCGCAGAAGTTCTCGAGCTCCAAACCCGCGCGGATGCGAACAAAAGGAAAGGAGCACAAATTGCATTTCCCCACGCCCCAACTTGCCGCGGCCTCTAATGGCACCCGCGAGCGCCGCTCATCAGCCTCGTTCCTTCCACATGCCTCCCTGCGCTCCACTGCCTTCTCCCATTTTGCTCATGCCGCCCCTGACTCAGGTTCTGGCGTGCAGTTCCCGGGGGAGGCGCCCGCCCGGCCGCGGCGGCGCTCGGCAGTTGCCGATGCAGCCCGCGGGCGCCCCGGGTTCGAATCATCATCTCCCGGCACCCCACGCCCACGGCGCGCCATTTGCCGCGGCGATCCGGCCATCGCTGCCAGATACAGCCGACCCAAGGATTGGCGCGGGGGGGTTGATGGGCAGGGGGGCGTGGGCGGGCCCGCCGGTGGTCTCCCGGGACCTGCAGGGAGGGCTGCAGGGGGCGATGGGGCCAGTGGTGGGTGGAGCGGCCATCGGCGGGGTGGCCCAGGGACGACAGGGCCTGGTGAGAGGCGGGATTGGCGCATCATTCTTTGTTGCTTCTTTTTCCTTGAGGAGTGTCTGCATTGTGGGAGGCATTTTGGGAGGTCGGGTGCCTCATCCGGGTCGGTAGAAGACGGGGTTGTTGCTACTGTTGTTGTTGGGAAATCGGCGTGGTTGATGATTCCATCTTTGAGTGAGCGGGCACAGAAATCAATGCAAGAAAAATGAAATCCTCCAGCGGGTGGTTGATGTTGATGTCATTATTCCAAAGTGAGTGTACATCGAAATCCCGCCAAGAAACATGAAATCCCTGAGTGTGGTGGATATTGTTGGCACTCTATTTGCATGGATCAATGCAGAGTATCGCCTCTCATGCTGGTAGGTCTCCAAAGTAGGCCCCAGCTTCAAAACCTGTGCCCCAAAGTGGCCAATTTTCTGCGGCCCACTGCCAGGGTCCAAATTGAGCAAAATGCAAGGAACTCACAATGGTTGCCTTTGTGAGGGAGGAGCTGCATGGGATCCATTCTCTCAGAAAGGGGAGACTCTGGTCAAGCAACAAACCCATGCTCAAAGAAGATTGCCCATTTGACAGAAAGGTCATGCAATGGGCGCCTCACTTGTGAGCTAGGTTGTTGCTGCTCCACAGTGTCGCTCGCAAGCCTGAGTTCTGCTCCTGGCTCCGTTCTAGCAACAGGGATGTTGGCCTTGTGGTGCCCTACAACGGTCACACAAGAGTAGACACTCTCTGGTCAGTTTACAGCATAGAAGTGCAGAGCAAAAACTTTGGGAACATGGATGAAGGGAGACCATTTTCCATGTTGTGAAAGGCGATGCTGATCTCTCCCTTTGTAAGAAAGCACCACACCCCCAAAAGGCAGCGCAAATAGCAAGAAAACGTGCACTCAGTGGGCCATATACAGGAAGCTAAGAGTGAAATAGATACCTTGGTAACAAATCATTCAAGATTAGGTCAACAGAAGATGATGTGAAGGTACAAATTGTGAAAAGGGGCAGTGGGAGGTGTTCAGAAGTGCATTGAAGGTGCAAGGCTGGGGTGGCCACGACACGCAGGTCTTCTGTACACAACCTTGAGCAAAATATTCAACAATGCGAAGTGTTTAATTTCAAGGAATGTTGCACAAGCATCAAAGCACGTTCAATCACTGCCTGTTCACCATTGAGGTCTGTGGGGCCAAATCGTCTATCCGAAACCTCAAACGAAAATGTTGAACAACAAATAGTGACTATTATCAATGAATTTTCCATGTTTATCAAAGGCAGATGAAAGGCTGATGAATGGCTGCCTGGTCGGCCAATGGGCGCTGTGAGGCAACGACAACATTGCACTCACATGTGCAAGGTGTTTGCAGCACTGAGAGAGGGTCTCTCCAGGCCATAGAAATATGTAGTTCTCCCACGGGAAAAGTTGGTACAAGACTCAAAACTGTGATGTGGTATTTGTAGTCAGTATTGTGCTCCAAATGCTTTGACTGCATTGCTCACAGTACGGACTCGCCTTCCCTTGGTACTTGTGTAGGGCAAAGTTGTAGGCTGCTTAAAGAACACTCACAAGTTGCATCAATCGGCCAACTACAATGGTGGAATTCCTTGTTCAGTATGCTTGTGTCAACCAGGCCCTGGATGCTTTACAACCTGCAATGTGCTTTTGACACACTCGTTACTGGCTACCAAAATATGCATGAAGGACTCACGCAGCCAGAAAAAACAAAGTGCTGAGGTAGACAAAAGTATGTTAAATGGCACCAGAGGTTAGAGTGCTGCTGTTCTAGGTGATGGTGCTGCGCAGCAGACACCGCTGCCTCCTGCTGGTGAAGCTGTTGCAGACCTTGTGCTTGCAGAAAGCTTTATTTGTTCGTAAAGGTGGCGTAATGTCATGGAATCAAAGAACAGAAACCTTGCAATTGCAGGTTCGCTTATGTTTCAGCAAAGTGTCAAAGACAGTCACAATGTCCTTTGCTCTGCATCAGGAATAGCACCAAAAACAGGGTAAAGAGAGTGGCTTGGTACATCATTTTCTGGAGCGGTTTGGTACTGGACACACTTGTGGAACTTGTTTTATACATGATTGCTATCTATTGTGAACAATATTCAGCGATTTGAAGTGATTTGAAAATTGTATTAAGCAGCAGATTGTTTGCCAATGTCAAAGTCGCCAATGAATTGCTGATCACTCCTGATGCCTCCAACATGCAGGTGCCACCAATGCCTGGAATGATTGGGCTGCGTCCTCCTGCAATGGAGTCCACAAGGCCCAACAACGATGGAAGGGCATTCCAACCCAGTGTTGCCTCGACAGCATTATCAGCTGCTGGGCACCCAAGGTTCGTTCATTTACTGCTCATCGCAATTTGCTTTCTGTGTTATGCGTTCAGTCCAAACTGCAACTTTGGATTTAAGACGTCTGGTGTACATCCTCTTCGAAAGACGAGAAAGCATCTTGCCACCTTGCAGGACACCAAAAGGTGATGCAAGGCTCCAAAAGGATGACAGCAAACTGAATAGTGCAAGGTTCCGATTTCAGAGAAGTTCGGCATGGGGAGGGAGGGTAGGTGGGGCTATACCGCTTCCAGCTGCATTGTTCTGTGGACTAATAAGACGTTACTTGCAGTTGATAATCATAATATCTCATGGAGGTTCAGCACCAGCTTGCCATGTGTCTATGGCTTATGACATAGATTACCTAGATGTGTCCGCACAGCCTCCTGAAATACCACTCCCACTCCCATTTGCCCTTTTGGAATCTCATTCTTTTTCCTTGTTGGCTATTTTTCTATCCACCTTGCCAGGTGTGTGGGACACTCGCACGTTGTGAATCTGGTTTGCACAGTGTTTGTTGTAGTGCCTGGCAGAGCATTGCCCAAATGCCTTCAAGCCAGTGAGGGATCTGAGTAGTCCCTGTTGTGGCCAACGGAGACAAGCAGAGAAATGAGTAAACCCCCTAGAATCAGGATTGTCTGTAATGGCCCCCTATTTCTGGCAATCGTGGCGATCTATTCTGCTGGCATTGTGCATGTGTACAGATGCAAACATCGAGTTTCTTGGATAATGGGGCCTCATGGTTGATGTAAAGTTGGGGGGCCAGATATGCCTGTATGTGTGACATTTCTGCTTAATATACCGATGAAGAGCGAAGCCAAGCTTGTGTTGTTCCACACAGAATTGTAGGGAATCTGACCTGCCACCAATTGTGAACATCCTGCTGTGAGCATTCTTTAGTTTTCCAGGTGCCACACACACAGTTCAGTCAGTCACTCGCACGAAAACAATGACAAAGCACATTCCTACGAGTGGTAGCGCAACATTCTGTAGCAAACTACAATGTCACAGTTGATCACAAGTGATGCAAACAAGCTCTTGGACGAGCCGCCGATGCCTCATGCCGTGCCCGCCTTTTGCAGATCGCGCCGAAAGGTGTCCCGCCAGTTCTGGCAGGCTGGGGACCTCTTCGATCTGGACGCTGGCATACAGCCCACCTGCATGCCTGGTCTGGACCATGCCCGCCTGCACCCTCGTTTCCTGCACTCAAATGCCACCAGCCACAAATGGGCGCTTGGAGCACTTGCCGAGCTTCTGGACAACAGCATGGATGAGGTGGATCAAGGTACGTGAGGAAGTTCCCCTGAACAAGTGGCCACTTGGGACAAGGTAACAAGAAGCAGGGACGTGGGGTTCCTGCAGGCGATTCAAACCCATCATTTTGTATCAGTGTGTTCCCAGTAGGGAAATGGGGAAATGGTTCACGGCCACATCTCCATCCAAACAGTAGTGTTTCTGAACTAGACTGTTCCCATGAATGCTGATGAGCCGGGCAGGCAAAATATGCGACAGCATGTGATGTTGCTGCGTGTGGAATGCAAGGTGTGTCAGCCACTCAAGTGGCAGTTCGTTTGACTGCATTTCTGACAGGAGATAAGCGGCTGGATGCGTGACTACACATTTGTTGTTCTTCATGATTTGTGGTCAAGTCAGCCATGTAGTGGGTGACTTCAGGTTGCTCCATGCAGAATGTACAGGAAAGAAAATACAAGAAATGCAAGGACTGTTAATTTCTGACAATGTAAGGAATTCATTGTTTGATATTAATATCATTATTTTTGTATAGGTAAATGTATAGAGTCAGGAATGTCCGCTGCTTCCAATGCAGTGGCCCACACAAGAGGCGCTGCCGCTTGTATGCCAAAAATTGCCTCAATTTGCTATAATGTTTGGAAAATCCAAAAGTAATGCATCGCAGGAAGGACACTACTCTGGGCCTGTGACTAGCAAGGGCCTATATCCTTAAGCACTGTTTGTTCGAGAGCTTATGAACGTGTTCGCTTGCTTGGGCTATTCAAAGAACCCTGAAGAACCCTGGAGAGGAAACATTCCATTTGTGAGCAGCAAGAAGGTGTTGCCAATGGTCTTGGACTTATGGAGATTATGCAGATTGCGATCCAGACATCCAGTGCCCAGACTCATCCCTGTCAATGACTTCCAGGCGAAAGGGCAGTGCAGTTCCATTTTTTGACAAGAGGTTGTCAAGTTGTGCACACATGGGGGAAGGAGCTGGCCTGCACGTTGATGAGTGTTTGTTGTCGTCTCTTGATATGAGCTTGTGACAATCTTTGCATTTGTTACTTAAATTGGATTTAATTCCAGATGGAGGTTGCAGAAATAAGAACCAACACATGAAGGGCTTTACCATGTGTTTTGAGTCAGCTCGATGAGATTACTACAGTAGGTGAACCAATGAGTTCCATAGTGTTTCATGCCCCCTGTTGGTTTGGAAATGCCTGGCATGTATGCTTGCTGCTTTTGAGTGCACTGCTTGGAATGAAATGCTGGTTGCTGGCTTTGGTGCATCAGGTTGCAGCTATGTGAGGGTTGACAAAGTGGACCACCCTACGGAGGGTGCTGGCAACCCGATGATCATCATCGAGGACAACGGCGGTGGCATGGACCCATCAAAGATTCGAAATTGCATGTCTTTTGGCTTCTCGATGAAACAAGGCAGGTGGCAGGCTCCATATGCTGGTGCTTTGTCCATACGCAGCGCATGCTGACCCATGCTGTACATTTTGCAATTGTTTGCGCAGCAGTTCGCACTTTACACTGTGCGCTTAATTTCGAGTGCCTTGGTGGTTGCGCACTTTCCTACCTCACCTGGTGGTTGGTGCCACAAGCTTTGCTCTTGTTGCATTAAAAACAAAAAGATGGGGACTTGATCGATCGTTCTCGCCATCCCTGCCTTCACCACTTAAGGATTCCAGCATCAATTCAAATCGCTTCCCATCCCGTTGATGCCCGGCTGAGCAGGGAAGAAGAAGATCGGCCAATACGGCAACGGCTTCAAGACGTCCACAATGCGCCTGGGCGCAGATGCATTGGTCATCACCAGATGCAAGTCGACAAGCACGTGCAGTGTGGGCTTGCTGTCCTACACCTTCCTGACGCAGGTTCTTTACCACCCACCCAGCTAGATATGCTCGTTGGGGCATTTTGTAGGTTGCCCATGCCGCATGGAAACAAACAAACACTTGTGAGGATTCTTATGTGCAGAGTTGTGTAAACTTGCAAGGTGCTGTTGCTGTGTGGTTTTCTGTTGTGCTGGCCTGTTGCGCCGGTTTTGTTACTTTTGTTTTTTCTCTATCGCTGCTCTTTTATATCGTTTTGTTTTATGTAGACCAACATTATTGGCGGCAGTCGAACATTTTCCTGTTTGCACCAGAATGCTGTCCTGCAACCATGCAGGTGGCCGTATGCCTCAAAATGAAGAGATGTTTTGCACATCCATGCTCTGACATGTGACTTTGGCAGTTGGAGCTCTCAACTTTATGGACAACAGAAGGATGGAATGGCTAGTTCAATGGTTCATTGTCTGCTTGATCGAATTATTGACTGTTTGACTGAATGACTGACTGGATAATTGATGATCCACTGACTGACCAACAAATTGACTGACCGACTGACTAATTTGCTTTTCTGGCACAGACCAATGCTCAGGATGTTGTAGTGCCCATCATTGACTACGATCTGGTGACCAGGAGACGGTGGGTGGGTATGGGAGGCAAGCAAAATTGTTGTTTGGTACAGATTAATTATTGGGTGAAGAAGTGGTGTGTCCATCGGTGCGCTTGGCATGCTTTCTGGACTGCAAAAGTCCAGCAGCATGTGGCCAAACATAAGAACTCTTGCTGGGACTGTTTGTTGAATTTGCCTGACTGTCCGCAAAGCCCAGCCACTTGCACATTGCATGTCGTATTTTTATTTCATTTTATTATTATTTTATTATGTATTTTATATATACATTTATTTATTTATTATCTTATGATTTCATTTGGCACTGTTGTTCAAACTCTGCAGGGCTTTAATGTTCAACGATTTGCTCTTTGAATGGCTGATGCAGATGCTTGCACAGCGGTACAACACTTTGTTGCTCAAACTTTGCTTGCGTAGAACTGTGACTAATGCATTGATTGACCTATTGATGGCAGGCGGATGGATGACAAAGCCGATTGGGACACCAGATTGTCACTGTTGTGCGAATGGGGACCATACAAGACTGAGGCCGATATTTGGAGAGCGATCCTTTCACTGGCTGACCAGGTGAACGGGCCAGACACCAGATGTTCTCTGCATACCTAGTTTTGCCTTCATCGGCCACCTTACACAGCACTGCTACATACATTGATGTCGCTATCATGTTGCTTTGCCACAATTGCACATATGCCGCACAGCTTCAATTCAGTCCACTGCAACACATCTGCCCTAGGACACATCACTTCTGCGCTGTTCCATGCAGAACACAGTGCAGCTCCAGCTTGTGCCCAAATTGCTTGTTTCCCCGCCTGCTGCTTCGTTTGAAATTTCGTTGCTCTGCCCCCTGCCCCCTTGTGCTGCAGGGCACCCGTGTGTGCATTTGGAACCTGTGGCAGACGTCGGATGATACCCCAGAGCTGGACTTCGTATCCCATCCCCATGACATGCGACTGCCCGGTTGGGAGGACGAAATGAAAGAAGTCATAACACGAAACGGTCAAGTGGACAAGGGCGCAGCCAGGTGCCATGCATACAGGCACTCCTTGAGGGCCTACGTGGGCATCCTGTACCTCGAGTGGCCACAGGTGGGCCTGGTCAAGTGGGCAGTACGATGTGGTGCAGTGCAGTGTGTTTCAATACTGTGGAATTGCATGTGCAGTACTGCATGAAGCAGTACCGAGTGGAGTTGCAAATCCACTACTAAAGTACTGCATCATTGGAGTGCTGACGCATACTACAATGTTGTAGTGTGCTCTAGCTTGCGTGGCGCCTGCCAATCTCTCCTTGTCGCAGCTAGCTGGCCTTCTTTGCACACAAAAGCAGCTCTTGGGCATTGCCTGTTCTTTTGTTGCTTTCCACTTCGATCTTTTGCAGGGTTGCATTGTTTTGCTCTCTTTTTTGTTCTTTTTGTCTCCGTTTCTCCATTATTTCATTTTGACAATCCTGCAGCTCTCGCCTTGCATGTTTCATTGAGGATTCGATTGGAGTTTAGTGCTCTTCATAGTTTCCCTATTTCTTATGTAGCTGTGTTTTCTTACATAATGAATGCCTGCTTGCCTAAGTACAGCGCAGTTCTCTGCAACAAAATGCAATACAGTGCAGCACATTTCAATGCAATGCAATGCGTTGCAGTATAAACAAAAACTGTTGGTGCTATGAGCACTCACTAACATCCTGTTTCGGAGCCCTTGTCATTTCCAATTTGGAAAATTGGGCTGCGCTTTGATTGTGCTTTGAGTGTGATGATGTGCTTCTCAGAACTTTAAATTCATCATACGTGGAGTTGATGTGGAAAAGACGACCGTCAGATGTGGCATGAAGCACATTATGAATTACGAGTATCGACCGCGGCAGCAGACAAGTGATGAAGGTGCTTTGATCTTTCCCATAAGGGAAATTAGGGCTGCACCAGGCACTTGTCGATGTTTGGGTGGTGCCTGTATGCTTCATCTGCTGGACTGCTGATGTGGTCAAAGTGGGCAAAGAGAACAGTCATGTATGACTCCACAGGCAGACTGTTCTTGAAATCTCACTGTTGTCTCCCACAGCTTTATGTCGACCAAGGTTGCATTGACCAAATTCTTTAGAATTCATAATTAGAGCAAGAAAGAACAAAATGAAAATGCGAGGGTTTGGGTTCCTGTCAGTCGATGTTGGCGCTCTTTCACCAGACAAACGATGTCTGGCATCACGTCACTGTGGCTCAAATTACTGGCGCGTCCAATCCTGCTGAATATCCTGGCCAAATGCCGGGATAGCCAGGAAGCCAAACTGGTCCGGCACTCTATTTACTAATCTTTCTGTGCAAATAAGCACGAATATTTGTTCTGTGATTTGGGCATGTTGTGTTCCTCGTACTGTAGCATCAACACGATCGAACTCCAATCTTGGTAGCAACTCCCTAAGTGATCCAGCAGTAGTAGCATACCCACTATAGAATACAAATAGCAGATCTACCAGAGTATTAGAGTACTCAAGGCACTGCAAATAAAGCAAAGCACCCTCCTTGAGCAAGCGATTACCAAGGGGGTGACTACTTGCTCCCCTTGCACCAATTCTTTTTGCCTCTGCTGCTTCCGCTTGTTCATCCATGGATTCTGCTTTGTCTTCCTGCATCGATTTGCTGTTTTCTGTCACTGATTTCGCCACTACTGAATTTTGCACTGCAGGACAATTGGTTGTGCCTGTGTACATTGGCTTTGCCAAGGAGGCACCCGATACGAGCGTGTCTGGGTTTTGCGTGTACCACCGCAACCGATTGATCAAACCCTTTTGGAAGGTGTACTCAAGTGCATCCAGCATGGGACGGGGCGTTATTGGATATCTGCAAGTGGACTTCGTTGAACCTGCCCATGACAAGCAGGTGGAGGTTATACAAACCCTGAGCAGTGCATGCATCCAAAATCTAT